TGTTCTCCACATCGAAGCGCACCGTGCTGTTCGGTGGTTCCGGGATGCTCGGCCGAGCGTTCGGGCACGCCCTCTCCCGTCGCAACGAGCACGCGCACATCGTGGGATTCGCCTCTTCCAGAGCCGATTTCCGTGACCCCGACGTCTTCGAGCGCACGCTCGACGAGCACGTCGAGCTGGTGATCAACACCGCGGCGATGACGGACGTCGACGGCGCCGAGACGCACCGCGAGCTCGCGACGGAGGTCAACGGACGCGCCGTCGGCCGCCTCGCGCGACGCTGCGAAGCGCTCGGCGTCCCGCTCGTGCACTTCTCGACGGACTACGTCTTCGACGGCGAGCGCGAGGGCGCCTACGAAACGGGCGACACGCCGAACCCGATCAACGTCTACGGCGAGTCCAAGCTGCTGGGCGAGCGGCTGATCCGGGAATCGGGGTGCGAGCACCTGCTCGTGCGCACGTCCTGGCTCCACGCCTCGTGGGGGAAGAATTTCGTCCGGACGATCCGCCGCTTGGCGGGTGAGAAGGAATCGCTCCGCGTGATCAGCGACCAGTTCGGCAAGCCCTCTTCGGCGATGCAGGTCGCCACGTCGACGCTCGCGCTCTTCGATTCGCGCGCCCGCGGGACGTACCACGTCTCGGGGGGCGGGTCGTGCTCGTGGTACGAGCTGGCGCGGGAGATCGTGCGGCTGAGCGGGGAGACGTGCGAGGTGAACGCCTGCACCAGCGCCGCGTACGAGACCGCGGCGACGCGACCCAAGAACTGCGTGCTCGACCTTTCCGAGACGACGGCGCGCGTCGGCCCGATGAACCACTGGCGCGACGAGGTCGCGATGACTCTCGCCGAGCTCGCCGGTCGCGACCGACGCGCCGCCAGCCGGAAGGCGGCCTGAGATGCGCGTGCTCATCCACGGCACGGCGCCGGACGCCGGGAACCTTGGGCTCAACGCGCTGTGCACGTCGCTCGTCGGCGGGCTCCGGCGCGCGGCGCCGCACGCGCAGTATTCCGTGCTGACCTACGGCGGCACGGTCGCGGGTGACGATGCCGACGGCGTCGAATATCTCCCCGCCTTCCGCACGAAGCGTGTCCACAAGCCCGAGAGCCTCGCGCGCATCCGTGTCGCGTCGCGCTTCGGCGTCTTCGGGAGCCATGCCGCGAGGCGATTCCGCGGCGCGGACGCGTTCCTCGACGCGAGCGGCGGCGACAGCTTCACCGACCTCTACGGCATGGGCCGCTTCTGGGGCATGGTGAAACCGAAGCAGATCGCCCTCGAGAACGGCGTCCCGCTCGTCCTCCTCCCCCAGACCTACGGCCCGTTCCGCTCGAAGAGAGCGCAGGCGGTCGCCGTCCGCATCCTCCGCGCCGCGAAGGGCGTCTGGGCGCGCGACCAGCGCAACTATGGAACATTGCAGGAGCTCCTGGGCGACGCCTTCGACCCGCTGCGCCACCGCGCGGGCGTCGACCTCGCCTTCGCGCTCGACGACGCGGAGCCCGCCGATGCGGACCTGGGCGAGGCGCGCGCCATGCTGCTCGAGCCGGACGGCTCGCCGCTCGTCGGCCTCAACGTGAGCGGCCTGCTCTACAACGACCCCGCCGCGGCTCGCGATCGGTACCGATTCCAGGCGGATTACCGGCGTGTCATCATCGAAACCGCGACCCGCCTCCTGAGCGACGCCGGCGCGCGGGTGCTCCTCGTGCCCCACGTCGTCCCGCGTCACGAGACGCTCGACGACGACCGCCGCGCCTGCGACGCCGTCCGCGGGGAACTCAAGGCGGCCTTCGGCGAACGGATCGCGTGCTTGCCCTCCGGACTCGACGAGCGCCGCACCAAGTGGTGCATCGCCCGGACCGACTGGTTCTGCGGCACGCGCATGCACTCGACCATCGCCGCGCTCAGCTCGGGCGTGCCCACCTCGGCGATCGCCTACAGCCGCAAAACGCTCGGCGTCTTCGAGACGTGCGGGCAGGGCGACCAGGTCGCGGACCCGCGCCGGCTCGCCACCGAGGACGTGATCGATCGGCTGCTCGGATCCTTCGCGTCACGCCAGCTCGTCGGCGCCCGCCTCGCGCAGCACCTTCCCTCCGTGCTGCACCAGGCGACCGCGCAGATCGACGAGATCGCGGAGATGGCGGGGATCGGCCTCGGGGCCGCGTCGCGTCAGGCGGCCTGAGCGGCCGGGCGACGCGTGAAGTTCACCCAGCTCACAGCGCCGGTGGCCATCGTGAGGAGGATGACCGCCTCGCCGATCCGGCCGACGCTCAGGCTCGCGAGCTTGATGCTCATGACCGAATCGACATGGTGGAGCGAGAGCTCGCGGATCGAGACGAACGCGAGCAGCGCGATCGCGCCGATGGCCAGACGCATGTAGCCCGGCGCGAGGTTCTTCGAGCGGAAGATCAGGAGCCACGCCCCGAACGCGGACGTTGCGAGCGCGACGCCGATCACCGCGACCTGGAGCGTGCGGCGGTTCTCGTACCACCCGCCCTCGTAGGCGAGGTCGCGGACGGCCTGCACCGCCGAACCGAGCAGGTTCGCGTGCTGGTTCAGGCAGAGCACAAAGAGCGAGCCGAGGAGGCCCGTCCACATCCCCAGACGCATCAGCGTGACGCCCGACGCGTCGCGGCCCGAACGCACGCGGAGCAGCACGGCGCTCAGCGCGATCACGGCCAGGTACAACACGGTGGTGGTGAGGGACAGGAGGGGCGCGGCCACGGCAAAGCCGTCGGCGCCCGCGAGCGGGCTCGTCGGGGCGTTCGTCATCTTGATCTCCGGTTGTTCGACGGTGTCGCCCGGCGGACCGGGTGACGGGTCAACCCGAAGGTACACCCTCCCGGCTCGGTGTCGATGGCTCTCTTGAGGATCACCTCGATTCCGCTCCAAAGGGGGTCGCTCTGTGCCGCGTGGGACGCTTGTAACGTGCGAATCACAGCGGTCGCCGTCAGTGCCGGGCGATTATCGGACGCTCCCGGCCGTCCAGAGGTAGTACGCCCCCGGTCGCAGACGCTCGGCGAGCCACCCGAAGGGCGAGTCGGCCCCCTCGGCGTCCGCCCCCGGCACGCTCGCCCGGGCGTAGGGCGTCTTGAGCTTCGCGCCCTCGGCGTGGTACTTCACGAGCCGGGCCCGGCTCAGCCCCGCTCGCTCACGGGCGAGCTCGAACGCCTCGCGGACGCCGCCCGTCGCGTCGACGAGCCCCAGCTCCTTCGCGGCCGATCCGGTGAAGACTCGACCATCGGTGACAAGATCGACGTCCGACGGCTCGATCGGCCGCGCGTCGAGGACTTTGGCCCGGAACGAGGCGTAGAACTCGTCCACCATCGACTGCAGGATGGCGTAGTGCTCCTCGTCCGCCTCCTCGAAGGGGTTGGCGATGTCTTTGTTCTCCTTGCTCGTCACGGCGCGCCCCTCGACGCCGATCATGGACATCCCGCGCGAGACGTTGAACGTCTGGATGATCACACCCACGGACCCGGTGATCGAGGAGGGCTGGGCGACGATCTCGTCGCACGCCAGAGCGATGTAGTACCCGCCGCTCGCCGCGACCTCGGCGAAGCTCGCGATCACGGGCCGCTTCGTGGTCTCGCGGAAGCGGAGGATCTCGTGGTACATCGTTTCGCTCGCCGCGACGGTGCCGCCCGGGGAGTTGATCCGCAGGACGACGGCGCGGACGTCCGGGTCTTCCGCCGCCTTGTCGAGCTGCATGACGAAGCGGTCCACGGCGCTCGTCCGCGACTCGATGAGCCCGCCGACGGGGGTTTCAGAGATCAGGCCGTCGACGTCGATCAGCGCGACCTTCGCGCTGAACGACCCCGCACCGCCCGCCTCGTCCACCACGCTCTCGGAGAGCTTGCCCGTCTGCGGGGCGAGGTCGATCGTGAACCTGCTGGGCAGGCACCCCGTGAGCCCGGCGAGCCCGATGAGCGACACGGACGCGGCGAGCAGGTACGCTCGCGGGCGCAGGATCGAACGAACCATGGCGAATGACGCGGGCCACATCCCGGTGCTCCTCTCGGAAGTTCTCGACGTCCTCGCGCCCGAACCGGGCGAGACGATGGCCGATGGTACGTCAGGGCGAGGCGGGCATGCGTCCGAGATCGCGAAGCGCCTCGCGCCGCGCGGGACGATCGTGCTCAACGACCTGGACGAGGGGAACCTCGCGTTCGCGCGCGAGCGGGTCGAGGCGGGAGCGCCGGGGGTCGGCGTGGTCGCGCTCCGGGGCAACTTCGCCGAGATCCCCCGAACAATGATCGAACAGGGACGGCGACTCAGCGGCCTGCTCCTCGATCTCGGCTTCTCATCGACGCAGATGGACACCGCCGACCGCGGGTTCAGCTTCATGCGCGAGGGCCCGCTCGACATGCGGTACGACCGCGCCTCGGGGGTCTCGGCGGCGGAGTACCTCGCGAGCGTCCCCGAGGACCAGCTCGCGGACATCCTGAAGCAGTACGGCGAGGAGCCCCGGGCCCGATCCATCGCGCGAAAACTTGTCGAACATCGCGAGAAGACTCCGATACACACCACGTCGGAGTTCGCGCAGATCGTCGCGGACGCGGTCGGAGGACGGGCGGCCCACGGACGGATCCACCCGGCGACCAAGGCCTTCCAGGCCCTCCGCATCGCGGTCAATGACGAGCTGGCGAGCCTGCGGTCGGTCCTCGAGTCGGTCGGCCGCTCCTGCGCCGCGTCGAAACGCGGCACGGGGCAGGCGTGGCTCGAATCGGGAGCGCGAGTCGCCGTGATCAGTTTCCATTCCCTCGAAGACCGCATGGTGAAGCGCTCGTTCGCGGAGCTGGTGAGCCGCGGGCTCGCCGAGCACCTCACGCGCAAGCCGGCGGAAGCGGGGGAGGAAGAAGTCACTGCCAATCCACGGTCGCGCTCGGCCAAGTTGCGGGCGATCCGCATCTCATAGAATCTTGACGCGCGGCGCGTCACACGGCGCCGGCGGGGACATACAACGAGGGGCAACGGACGCCCCACTGAGACGAAGCAGGGACGCTGACGATGACGCGGGAACAGAAAGTCGCACTCATTCTGGGGTTCGCCCTCGTGCTGGTCGTGGGGGTGCTCGTGAGCGATCACCTCTCCGGTGCCCGCGAGGCCACGCTCGTGGACATCGAGCTGCCCGAGACCGAAGACCGCCCCGTCTTCCGCACCTACGACGAAGAACCGCAATTCGCCCAGGCTCCCGCGATCAACGACCAGCCCGCCGGGTTCCTCGATCACATCGAGGACGAGCCGGTCGAGACGTACACCGCGCCGGTCGAGACGCCCGCCCTCGCGATGGGCGACCCCGTCGAAGAGGACACGATGCTCGAGACCATCCGCGACAGCGTCCGCGACGCGATGCACGAGCTCCGCAACGGCAACGGCCCCTCGCCCGCGTTCCAGACCGAGACCCGCACGATCACCATGGGCGAGCCCGTCGGCCGCTCGCGTGAGACCGTGGCGCCCGCCGGCTCGGGCGACGTCCGCGTCCACGTCGTCCGCAAGGGCGAGACGCTCTGGGCCATCGCCGAGCGCTACTACGGCACCGGATTCGTCCACGCGGACCTGCTCCGCTACAACGCCGGCCGCATCCGCAACGCGGGCGAGCTCAACCCCGGGCTCAACCTGCTCATCCCCGACAGGCGCGACCTCGGCTCGGCCCCGCCCGCGACCGTCGCGACGCGCCCCGCCACGACACCCGCTCGCACGCAGGCGACACCGGCCACCACACGCACCTACACCGTCGCCAAGGGCGACACGCTCTCGGAGATCTCCCAGAAGCAGCTCGGCACGTCCAAGCGCTGGGAGGAGATCATGGAACTGAACGCCGACAAGATCGACGAGCCGACCGACCTTTACGTCGGCTTGAAGCTCAAGCTCCCCGCACGCTGAATCCGTTCCACGAGACCGGGACCCCGATGGCCGCGAAGCTCGCATTCCTGATCCTCGCCATCGCGCTCACCGGCGCGTCGCTGCTGTCCGTCCGTCAGCAGCGTGTGCAGGTGGTGCACGAGATGACGATGCACATCCGCCGAGCCGAGCAGACCGAGCGCGCGATCTGGCGCGCCCGGGCGGACCTCGCGGCGCAGGTCACCCCCGCGAAGATCCGCGCCACGCTCGATCGCCTCTCGGCCTCCTCGCCCGTCTTCGACGAGTATTGCCCGCCCGGCACGCTCATCGTGGCCGACGATCCCCTGCCCATGAGCCACGCGGAATGAGCGAGCCGGCCGAGACGAGGTTCGTCCCCCGCGAGCCGCCGCGCGACCGCTTCCGCTCCGTCGCCTTTTTCTGCGCCTCGCTCGTGCTCGTCCTGCTGGGCGGCGCGTTCGTCCGCACGGTGCAGCTCCAGACGATGCCCGAGGCCGAGCTCGCCGCCTTCGTGACCGAGCGCCTGAGCACCCGCCAGCGCGAGGGCGCTCGCGGAGACATCGTCGACCGTCGCGGCCGCCTGCTGGCCTCGACGCGCGTCGGCTACCGCGTTTTCGTCGACCCGTCCAAGCTCGAGCCGCCCTACGGCCAGCTCATCCACGACCTCGCCCGCGTCACCGGTGTCCCGCACCACGAGGTCGCCGAGCGCCTCCTCCCGATTATCGAGCGGAGCAGCCAACGCGTCAACGCGGGCGAGTCGCCCCTGCGCTACGTCTCGATCGGCGGCATCCTCGACGACGGCCAGTACGCCGACGCGATCGAACTCGATCACAAGGGCGTCCACCTCGAGACGCGCTCCGTCCGCGAGTACCCCGCGGGCGAGATCGTCGCGAACCTCGTCGGCAAAGTCGGCGTCGACCACAACGGCCTGCTCGGGATCGAATCCACGCGCGACCGCGACATGACCCCGAGCCCGGGGACCCTCACGTACACCCGCGACGCCCGCGGCAACGCCCTCTGGGTGAGCAACGGCGCGTTCCAGAGCTCGGGCAAGGGCGAGGCGGTCCGCCTCTCGATCGACCTCGTCCTCCAGGAGATCGCCCGGGAGGAACTCGAGCGCGGCGTGCTCGAAGCCAACGCCGCGGGTGGGCGGCTCGTCATGGCCGACCCCGCGACGGGCGAGATCCTCGCGATGGTCGACCACGTCCGCGAGATGGAAGGCCTCACGCCCTTCGACCTGAAGAACCCGCCGCGCCGCGACGTCACGGACGCCGGCACGGTCCGCTTCGAGACGATCAAGGACCCGGGCGACGTCCCGCACCCCGCGATGCGCCGCAACCGGTGCGTCGAGGACCTCTACGAGCCGGGCTCGACGTTCAAGTCGTTCGTCTGGTCCGTCATCACCGAACGCGGCCACGCCAAGGCCAACGAGACGATCGACACGCACAAGGGCCTCTGGAAAACGAAGTACGGACGCACCGTCAAGGACGTCACGCCGAAGGACGAGCTCTCCTGGAGCGACGTCCTCGTGCACTCGTCGAACATCGGCATGGCGCAGGTCGCGGAGCGCATGAGCTTCTCCGAGACGCGCCGCGGGCTGGAGCGCTTCGGCTTCGGCCTGCGCACGGGCATCGACCTGCCGGGCGAATCGACAGGCCTGCTTACGAGCGCCAAGGACTGGTCGAAGTACACGCAGACGAGCGTGGCGATGGGGTACGAGGTCGGCGTGACGCCGGTTCAGATGGTCCGCGCCTTCTGCGCATTCGCCCGCGAGGGCGACGACGCCGGCACGCTGCCCACGCTCCGCGTCTCGTCGAGCGCCAAGGACGGCATCGACCAGGGCGTGCGCTACCGCGTGCTCGAGCCGTGGGTCGTCTACCTCGCCCGCGAGGCGATGGAGCGCGTCTCGCAGGCGATGATCAACCGCTACGTCAACATGAAGAGCAACGAGACGCCCTTCCAGTACCGCATCTTCGGCAAGTCCGGCACCGCCGAGATCGTCCGCCCGGACGGGCGCGGGTACTTCCGCAACCAGCACAACTCGAGCTTCCTCGCCGCCGCGCCCGCCGAGGCGCCGCGGATCGTCGTGCTCGTCGTGATCGACGACCCCGGGCCCGAGCGGGTCCGGAGCCGCACGCACTTCGGCAGCGCCGTCGCCGGCCCCGTGGTGTGCCGCGTGGTCGAGCGGGTGATGGGGTACATGGGCGTGCCGCCCGAAGCGAAGCCGGCGAACTTGGCGCAGTCGAACTGAAGTTCCACGGGCTGGAAGCCCGTGCCACGG